AATAAAAATCAGACTACGCCATACCCGTGTCAAATACGTACAATATTAGCAAAAAGATGTAAGATTTTATGAGAGGTTTTCATTATTTGTAACAGTCTGGCACGAATTTTTTCTGAAAGTTCAAGTACTAAAAATCTAAATATCAAGTTTCAAACATATGTATGTTAGTGCCAATCTTCTTGTATAACAATGTTTTATAATATTCTACGGCTCCCGCAGCTCGAAATTTCTTCCCTCGGTTGTGGCCGTCCCGCCCGACTCATTTGTAGGTAACACACTGGAGGAATAAGTTTCATAATACTTGTAAACTGTAGCAAGTTTCATGAAACTTTGTTTCATGTCATCGCACACAGTATAAAAAAATATAACCATTACAGTATTACCGTACTGTAATGGGAACTTCGACGACCTATACCAGTTGTAGCTGAAAACCGTTCCAGAAAACTAGTTCTTCAAGTATGGCACCACTTTCAGACTTCACGATAAGTAGGTATGGCATAATTTTTCCAAAACATATTCCTTTGTAAACTTTCGAAAAATTGAAAAGCGATACTGTAACAATTCGTTTCGTAATTTTTTTTTTTGTCTCATCTTAACGCAAGTGCGACAGTCTTCAGCCCCATGGTATCAGTATGGGATAATTGTTTTCAGGTAGAATCCTATAGAAACAAACTGAATACAATGATGCCATACCGTGATTAATAATTTTACACCTTGTATCAGTTGTAGCTCAAAAACATTCCAGAAAAGCAGTTCTTCAAGTATGGCACCACTTTCAGAGTTCACGATAAGTATGGCATGATTTTTCCGAAGCATATTACCTTGTAATCTTTCGAAAAATTGATATGCCATACTGTTACAATTCTTTTTGTTATAATTTTTTTGGTCTCATCTTAGCGCAAGTGTGACAGTCTTCAGCCCCATGGTATCAAGTATGGGACGGACGATCATGTACGCCGAAATGTTCACGTAATCTGCGGTTTGTCACTGTGAGGTTTTCTCCATTTCTGTAATTAGTCTTTACAATTAATAAACGTTCCTCAAGAGTGTAACGCGGCATTTTAGTAGATGTCAATTTTTTTACCGAACACATGCACAATATGGCCGACATGACGCTTGACAGACAGAAATGGCGCGCAATTTAAAATTCAAGTTTTTGTTGAGACACTCTTATAGGAAATGAGATAAAATTATTTTGTAGCGTTTATACAGACACATAACATAACATAAGAATTTATTTTCAACCAATCATCTGCAAAAGAATGATCAGGTGTTTTCTGTATTTTCGATAATTCAACTGTCAACGCGATCCACATGTTGCCAATGGTGGTTCTTGGCTCTTTTCTGTCAAATTCTCAATGGAACATGCGCAGATTCATTTCCATTTAAAATAAGACATGAAAGTTTGAAGTTAACCAACTCTCTTATCTTTCTTATGTTTATGTTATCCTATTTTGTGTATAAACGATATAAGGGATTTACATAAGGTCAACTTTTATCTTATCTAATGTTATGTGTCTGTACCCAAGTAGCACAGAAATATTGTTAATAGACTGAAGTGCTCTATATCCGATTTGTTAGAGCATTTGAAGTAACAAAACTGATTTTTAAGAGACTCAATAAATACAAATGTATCATGAAAACAAATTTATTTTGTTATGTTACTATATAGATATTTTCAAGATTAATTTAAATAACAATTTTATAAGTTTGGTAATTAACTTGCTCATAAATATTTATATGACAAGACTTATAAAACTGTTTTTGTTTGAGATAGATATATTTTGTAGTTGCTTTATAGCAATATTCACAAACAGATATATATCACTTATAAAAGTATGCATTTTGATTTATTACGGCTTTATCATAAGATTTTATAGTATTTATGGAGAATAATTTATAAAACAGTTCATTCTTAGCAATAATTTAGTTCCGTTCAATACTCTTATAAAACTATTTTATAATTGTTGTGGAACAAAATTGAATAAAGCACTTAAAAAAGGGTTAAATAACAGAAGTGTCTCACAAAATACAAAATTATTATTAGGGTAACCTTATAAAAATTTTATAGCACTAACCTAAAATTTAGTTTATCTACCTTCGCTGCAGAAAAATCTTGATATTTCTAGTTTTAATTCCTGTGATAATTGATATAGGTACCTATTGCTAATTATCAATATGTCAAGCATTTCTTGCTGGATAATATTAAGAAGAAGTGGCAATTTCAGGAAAGAGGTACAGGCTAATTTCGAAAGATCTGATTTGGTGTCATTTAAGCAACATATATCTGTATTAAGGACGTTTAGTTTATAATAACGTAACATAACATAGAATAGTAATAAGGTGTGCAATTTCTAATTTTCTTATAAATGTATTCTACGATAAAAGTATCGTAAAACTGATACAGTCAGATAAACTTTATAATAATATTGTTATTTAAGCAATTTTTCTGAAGGCTATATAACAATAGTATTTTATAAGGGTTTTATTATTATCGCAATTACTTCAGATATACCGACACCCACGCCACCTAGCACCATGATCTGAAAACAAATATACATGATTCAGAACAGGCGATGCGACGTTGTCAAACTGAATATATTATCTTCAAGTATCCAGAATATTTATTTGAAATTCATTAAGAATTATTAAGGGTTGATTATGATCGAATGCCCTAGACAAATACGCAAACACATGAACCGTTACAAGTTACTGTCTATATTAGGTAGGTACTGTAACCCTGCTGGTAAACCACAGTGAACTAAAAATTAAAATACAGAGAAGGTATAATCTATATACCTACCTATTTAATATAATTCAATCAAAAACTTGTTGGAATTGTTACGGTTTGGCCAAAAACTCTAATAAAGTACCTATGACTATTTTCTTCCAATTTTAAATTCCAACTTTTTTGATTCAATTCTGTCGGCCACGAGTTTTAAGTATGATTTTTTATAAATGAAGTTCGAAAGTTACCAGTAACTGATGAGAAAATTTTGGATTGATTTTGATAATAGGTTTTCCTATTCTGGGTTTTCCCACGAACTGAATTTTGGTCGGCCGATTTTTTTTGAAAACGTTTATTAAGTAAGCAATAATTGTTATTTTCCTACAATTCACATTAAATCCTTCAAACAGTGTATTAGAACACTGGTAACAAGGATAATTACGCCAGTTAATGTTTAACAGTTCTGCAATAGGAACAAAAAACTTATTCAGTAAAAAACTTAATTAGTAAAAATAATGGAAATGAGCACTAATATAAACTACATTGGAGGTTACGTATGCAAACTTATGTATAATTTAGTTTGTTCTACAAATTTCTTATATTTTGTTATATTCTTAATATTTTCTGGGAGTGAATCATGACTTTTTGACGCCTGGTATATTGGATTTTGCAAACCTTTATTACTTTTAATATTGGTGTGAAATATATTTTCTTTAGACCTAGTATTATGTGTGTGGATATCCCTGGAATATGTAAATGTGATATTTGATTTTGGAGTTTTGTTTTTAATGTTATATATAAGTTTACATTGTTCCAGCTGCAATACTTTGTCAAGCTGCCAGACCCCCAAGTTACGGTATAGGTCCGACGTGTGTGTCAACCAGTGATATTCAAATAAGATTTTCAACACCTTGTTTTGCAAGATTTGCATTGAATTTAGATTCACAATTCCACACGTCCCCCACACCGTAATCAGATATCTAAAGTGCGTCAAGAAGAAAGCATTGTAAACATCTAGTTTACTTTTATATGAGAGATAACTCCTATTCCTATACAAAGCCCCAAACATTGGCACAATCTTACTTTCTATTAAGCTTATATGATCTGTCCAGCCAAGTTTATGATCAATGAGCAGACCTAGGTATTTTGTTTTTTTTTACATGTTCAATCTGTATATTACATAATTTTATAGAAGGTATTTGTACAATTTTATTTTTTTGCTTAAATAGCATAAATACAGTCTTGTCTGTATTAATTTTTAATTTAATATGTAATAACCAATCGGTATAACGTTTTAGATCTATGTTAACAATGCCCTCAATATTCTCTACGTCATCAATATCATAAACCAGGACTGTATCATCGGCAAGTGTATAGTATCTACCTACTAACCCTGCATTTTTCAGACACAATACATAAAGGGAATAAAATAGGGGACCAAGGACAGAGCCCTGTGGTACTCCATAATCACAGTTTTCTATTTGGCTTGAATCCATACCCAATCTCACATAGTGTTTCCTATTCAACAAATATGATTTTATAATATTATACATTTGACCTCTAAAACCCATATCATGTAGTTTTTGCAACAAAATGTCCCTACTAACCACATCAAATGCTTTTTGTAAATCTATAAAAACCGCTATCACTACTTTACCCCTATCTAAATTAGTAGAAACTCTGTTAATCAAGTCAATTACTGCGCTTTGTGTGCTACTATGTTCAATAAAACCGTATTGATATTCATCCATAGGCACATATCGTCGGTCTCCTTACGTAGTGGCGTAACTAGCTTTTCACAAATTTTCCAGTAGACGCAAAAAACGAAAATGGAGCATATTTATATCGGTGTCCAATTGTTTCTACTGAAGGTGGCCCAAATTGTTTTTTTTTTATCAAAATGCTTAACTATTCCTGCTACTTTTGAGCATAACATTTTTGTTATCAGCTGATCAGCTTGCAAGTAAAAAACATGTTTATACAGATACGCCAATTTGTAAAAATATATTTTTTTTGTGTTTACACTTACGCCTATAAGATCGTGTAGGGAAAAAGTGATACAGATTCATAATATTATACTTTTAAACTAGTTTATTGTGATAAATAATGAAATTAGCAAAATGTTTTACAACGGTTATTAGAAAAGGAAAAAAAAATTATTCATTCTTTACAATGGCTAATGAAAAGGGAAAAAAAAATCATTCTTTAAAAAAAATGAAAACAGTTTGAATCTGATTCTTTTTATTTGGAAAAACAAGAAAAAACAGCACTATTATTTTTCGTCTTCTTCGTGCGGCAAAGAGTAAAAGAAGTTTTGAAGTTCGGGTGTGCGTATTACCGCTGTTCTGTTTCTGCCAGATGGTTTACAAAGAGCAGTTAAATCTTCATATTTCTTTCTGGAAATTTTAATTTGTTCTTTATTCAAATTATCAATAATTAGATGGCTTATTCCACCACGTTGTTTAAGCACAATTTTATCATAACTTTCTTCAGCGTGGCTATATTTAAAGAAAATGCTCATCGGTTCTTCTTTATTGACACTAAGATCCAGAATCTCGGTCCATTTTAAAGATCTGTTTTTCTCGCTTTGTCTTACAGATAATAGTCTTAGATTTTTCGAAAATGTTTTGAAATCAAGAAAATCTCCAAAACTCATTGGAATAACAGTGTACGGCTTAGGTTGTGTTCTTGCACCTCGAATGAGTGGGTATAGTTGTGACGGTACAAAGAGGTCACCAGAATGTGCCAGCGCGTAACCAATAGCACTGTGGGCGCTATCACCTTCGTTTTGTCCGTGATTGGTTTCAAAAAATTTCAAACTAATATTTTTAATAGTGTTGTATTTTGCCAACGAATACAGCAACATGGATGCTACAACCGAATTTTTATTCTGGCCGTAGCACCCATCACAGAAGAGTTCTATGGTATGTACTCCTTTTCCGACGTATTGGCCAATTGCTCTGAATAGACAAGTTGCAATTTCAGTCGACCCACGTTTCCCGTTTGTTTCGTCCCAGACAAAGCAGTAACATTTTCTGGTGGCTACATTGTAAAAAGTGAAATTAAAAACTGACATCCTTGACTTATAGAAAATTGCAGACTCCTGTGAAATGGGTAAGTAAATCACCTGTTGAAGATCAAAAAACGCGCAAAGGATATCTGAATCAGTCTTTGCCTTTTCTTTACTTTCACTTTTTTTCTGTCTCACTAGTTGTTTCTCTAAAATGTGTTTCTCGTATCTATCTTTTAAATCTTCTTTAATAGCAGCGTCTCCCTCTTTGAAGGATAAGCAAAGTGAGCACTGATCTTTCTTTGGCCTTAAAAACGACAGATTCTTCGCCTTGAAAATTCTTCGATAAGTAGTTAAACTTGGAATGTTTGTGTTCTTTTTGGATTCTTGTTCTTCTACAAACATTTTATAAATTTTTTTCAATGATAGATCTGGATGGAGATACATCCTGCTCGTGCTTGATCTGCAGAAATGGGACTCCACGCGAGGGTATCGGTCGATGTGGGCCTCGATTTCATTTCTATTTTCTCTTTCCTTGTTTTTAACTGCAACACTTCTCTGCCTGCCCCCTCTCATTTCCTTTTCTATTGTACCTGTTGCAGTAATTTTTGAGAATGCTGTACGGAATGTTCTCTCGGGAATGCCCAGTGTATTGAAGAAAAATCTCTTGCACACCATGATTTGGTTGTTATTTACTGTTAAAACGTATAATCTGGAATTTTTTCTACGTGAGTCACTGTTGACAGTAGTTGATCTCTTTTTAGGAAGAACTTGAACGTGACGGACTAAAAATTCTCTTTGCTTTGCTAGGTCCCCTAAACCCATGAAAGCATTAAAAATGTCCTGCCTCATCTCATCAGATATCTCAATACATTGTTTTCCCATTTTTTTACATTTTTGCCCGTCACATCGTTCCTTTATTTGTCTGGCTGGGATTTTCTTTTTGGTCTTTACGCTGAAATACTCTTGACCTGAGTTCCGCAAAAGTTTAGCTTCTTTGGATTTATTAATTCTTTTTTTCTTAGCAATCGTTCTCTCTTCTGAAGCGCCCTCAACTAAATAGCCTTCTGGATGCTCAACAATTTTCGTTTTTTTTTATTCTGTTGACTGATTTGGCTACTGACTTGTAAAAGAGCTTTTTTGTCCGAAGATTTTCTACAACGATTGGGCCCAGCCTTTCCAGTATTGTACACAGTATTTATGCCGTGGTACTAACAATTTTCCACATCCTCATTGAAATGGTCAAAACATAGTAGAAAATCACATCTATGGCACGCCGCAAAAACTTCCCCTTTACAAGTTTTGACATGACATTGTCCAAAAGGAGGATCGGCATCAGAATCGTAATCATCTGATGGAGAAGCGTAGTCGTCAATAAAGCTATTTTCCTTATCCGAGTCAACCTATAAAAAAAAAAAAAGAAAATCGTTTATAGGCATGTATTGTAGCTTGAGTGAAAAGAGCAAGAAAAAAAAACAATATTAAAAAGAACCTATTTGCTACAGCGGCCTTCGCACAAAATCACAAACATGCTACAAAAAAAAGAAAAGTAGGCACCTACTCACATTAAGTATTTCATTATCTCCACCGACATTAATAAACGGCAAAACTTCCGGTTCTAGAACTGCCTTTTCCTCTGGTTTTGCTTGAGAAATGAATAAGTCATTGTAAGTTGTAACTTCACCTGGTTCAGCCTGTAAAAAAAAAACATTTTTCCATTATTGGCTGCGCTTTGGAGTTAAGATGGTACAGGGTGTCCCTGTACCAACTTATAGAAGCACTAACATAGTATCATTCAACTCATACTTACATGTACTAATTCGTTTCTATTTGTTGCCTGTTCATTTCCACTAGATGATTTCAATAATTTGCTCAACGGAACGTCGTCCTCCGAATCGCTGCCAACTAGATTTTCCACATCTAGAATGATTCCATGATACCATTTTCTATTATATTTCATGTGAACCTTATTTCCCACTTTAAAGCGCTTATATTTATCGGTTTTAAGTTCATTTGAAGACACGACGTTCCTCGAACCGTCTTCCCACAACACAAGCACATCCATGTTTTATTAAAAATAGTTTTTTTTTTTTTAAATTTATCTGAAGTTAAATTACGCACATCATCAGCTCTGGTCACAACGGAAACACAAACAATAATAATATTATTGAGGTTATGAAATTCTCGCGGATATTAGGCAATTCAATCCATCTGTCAAAAAGGAAAATTCAATGTGGCGTGGCGGCCAAGCAAGTTTGTTTTGAATATGTTTTTATGCGTATTTTAAATTATTTTGCATACAGTTTTGCTTACAACTTTGATTTTCATTATTTAATAAAATATTTGTTGACTATGTACCTAAACTATTAATTCGGGCAGAAACTATAAATTTTTTTGTGTTTTGTGGCCCATGCGTGGCCGCCACGCCATCTTGAATGTCACGTGGTTTGAGTTGCCTAATGTTGATGTTTCCTCCCGATCGCGCGTGCACAGTGGTTTCAGTTACGCCAAAACAGTATCAAATGGATCAAAAAAGTGACACGACGTAAAGGCGTAAATTGATTTACGCCAATACGTGGGAAACACTTTAAAGGTTTATGCACTTACGCCATATTTTAGTAATGGCATTGCAAGCATAGTATTAGAAATACAGTTACGCTACTTTGTGAGATTGAAAAGCACCCCAAAATAATACCTTAGACGGCGTATCTCAAAATCTCAATTTTTGTCAGTTACGCCACTACGTAAGGAGACCGACGATATTTATTGATAAAGGACATCATTCTTTCTTTAATAACACATTCAATAATTTTTGAAGAAACGCTTATTACACTAATAGGTCGGTAATTACTCATAGACTTTTTACATCCGGACTTGAATATGGGGCTAATTCTATTTACTTTTAGTTCCTCTGGAAATATACCAGTTAAAAGGCACTTATTGACTAGTTTGGTTAATATCGGAACAACATCATTCTGTATATTTAGTATGTCACGGACTGTTATTTGGTCGTGACCAGGAGCAGAAGTCTTCTTTAGATGTAATATAGTACTAGTAATTTCATGTTCATCACATAGTGGTGAAAAAGCTGTATTGTCACAATATATTTCGTTGAATTCATGATCCTTTATGTCCTGATGCCCCAAACTAGCTATGTGAGTATTTATCTCATGTACAATGTTTTTACCTACATTTGCGAAGTGCTTGTTTAATTCATTAATTTTAGCTGATGGTTCTTTTATTTCTTGATTATCAACATTCAAAATTTCAATAATTGTTGGATTTTTTTTTTCTTTTACTATACCATTTATGAACTGCCATTGTTTTTTAGTGTCAGTCCCACATTCGCCCCATTTGTTTCTAAAGTATTGGTTTCTTAAGGTTTTAATTTTATTGGTTATTCTGTTTTTTAAAGTTCTATACTTCTACACTGAGCACTGTATTTTCCCGTTGCTTGAGTTGTTTTTTATACAATTTGTGTCGCGTTGTTTAATCAAGTCCAGAAGTTCATTGTTGACCCACTTATTATTTTCGTGACAACGAATAACTTTAGTGTACTCTGCCTTCGCCTTACATGAATTAATAATATCACTCAACTCTTGGAATGTTTGTATTTCACTTATTATGTTCTGATTGAAAAGTGTTTTAAATTTAACATGGTTAATAGCCCTGACTTCATATTTCACTTTTTGTTTAACCACCTTGACCTTCTTCCTGATGCTGAACATAAGCTTTTTGTGATCGGAAAGAGGGTTATCTGCTACTATTATTGATGAGCAAAAATCACAACTGGGTTGATCTAGCAATACGTAGTCGATCAAGGTTCTAGTTTCGGGGGTAACACGAGTCGCATGGTCTATGTTAATAGTACTTTTAATAAAAAAGTTATTTACGGTTATTTTGTTTAGCAGAGTTTTAACACCAACGCTTTCATTATCTAAGAGATTCATATTGAAATCTCCTAGCAGGAGGTCTTTGGGAATTGTTCAAGCAAACTTTCAAAGGTGTCTATAAATTGATTATAAGGATAGGATGGTGGTTTATATATTGCACTAATCGTTAAAGTATCTACCTTGAAACAAATGCAGCTCAATGTGTCCTCTGAATTGGATCTACGCAATTCTTTACATTTTATGCCATTTCTTATGTAAATTGTTGCTCCGGCCCCCGCTTTTTTCTGCATGAGTGGAGAGCCTGGTATCCATCAATTTTATAAAGCCATGTTTCATTTGCATCCAACCATGTCTCAACCAAAACCAAAACATCACATTCAGTACTTACCAACAAACATTGTATTTCCTCAAATTTATTTTTAATACTTTGAATATTCATTTATACTACATCTATCTTGTTATTGTTGCATTCTAGTTCATTAAGTTTTTTAAAGCATTTTTGTTATCAACAAGTACGACCTTCGTATTTTCACCCTTTCTAAGGAGAATGTCTCCATTCGAGTACCACAGATATTTGTAACCTTTCTCATTTTTAAAATTTCTAGCTAATGTGTGTAGTTCCTGGTTCATTTTAGTTAGGTCATGGTTCAAATATATTTTATTATCTACCCTATAACCCAAATTATTGGGTTAAGTTGAAATCTCTTTATGTTTTTAGCCATTTCGCCTTTATATTTTTGTCCTCAAATTTAACCCGGATCGGGCTGTTTTTAGCCACATCTCTGCCCAATCTATGTGCACTAAAATTTCCAGTTGGTATTGCTAGAATTTCTCCGACTTTATCTACAATTCTGCTCAAATTCTCTTTTTCTTCGTATGGGATACCTTGTATAATCAAGTTATTCTCCAACTCTCTCTGTTCTCTCTTATTAAATTGTTTTTTTATGTCCTCTAGTTCTCCCTGATTAGATAGTCAATCAATAAGTTACAGCAAAAATTGCTGTTTAGTCTTGAATCTTTGTCTTAGATGGCGCCACGATCAAATTTCGACCGTCGTACTGTTACTAGTAACTTTTGATTTTCATCCATACAAAATTGAAAATATATAAAGGTACACGTTTGTTCTTGACATGGCAACATGGCAATGTCTGGAATATTATAATAGTTTTACGCTATGTCATTTTAGATAATAAAATACAAATGTTTTATGGAACTGCATTATAAATCACGTTATAAATCAAATATGTTTTATAAATATCAAATTTGTTTATTAAACATTTTCTTGGCGATAAAAATGATATATTAGACGACGCCATGTTTTCACGTTTAATTTCACTTGTCCTATGTCGACCATTTTATCGTATCCAAAATAAATTAAATAAAATAATATAATTTAGAAAATTGTCGTTACTAAAAGAATAAAATCAGTTCACAATGACATAGAACATGACATAATGTCGATTTTCAACTTCACGGATGATTATTGGAGACTTTGGTGAAATTTAAATATTTTTTGTAACTGTAAAACCTTGTTAAAATTGAAGCGCGTTAAAATATCTCCAAAAAATAACCCCCAATTGATCAGTAAAATTTGCTTCGCAGTAAGATTTGAGTGGTTGAACGGTATTTAGGTGGGCTATATATTTTTCCTGATTTACACATGCATTCCTAGCAACATGTCGCCATATTCGTAATCCATAAAAGCAGAGAAGGTTGGACAACCCTTTAAAAATCAGTTTTGTATTCGGCATTATGAAAATACGATAAAATATTTTTATTAAACTGTTTTAAGTATGCTATAAAACATTATTTTATAAATGTTTTATTAGTAATTTCAACTACAGCTACAAAATTTCCAAATAATATTTATAAAGCTGTTTTATACTAAGGTTCACAAAAGACACAATTGCTATATAGGTAAATTTATCTTCTAACTTATAAACCTCTTATAAAACTGTTTCATAACGATTTTATAAAGCACTTCATAATATTTTGTAAATGCTATTCGCGATCCTAAAACAACTTTAAAACAATAATAATATTTTATAAACCTGGGCCTTTTTCATACTTATAGACGTCAAATAAGGGTTTACAACCCAACTAAGAAATATCGCAGGCTATGTTCTGATATCAACTGGATTTACTGAGCTGATTTTACTGTCATTTGCCGTTCCGATTTCAACAGCGTACTCTTGTGGTCATTCAGTACTGAATCGACTGAATCCAGTGTACTGAAAATAATATTGGAACGGATCCAGTAAATTCAGTACTGACAGTTGATATCGGAACATAGCCGGAGTGCCGATTATTATGACATATCACATCATAACCACACTTCTCGGACTATGACTAAGGGAAAAGCTGAAGCTGACGCCAGTCGGACTTTAAAAAGTTGAGCAAAAGGCAAAAATGTGATCTTGCTTGACACCACATTTCAATGTTTAAGCAATAATTGCCTACTTAAGGGTATATAATACCTTTTGCCCCCTTCAATGCACTGGGGCTTTATTGTGTTGGTCCGTCGCTAATTTTTAAGTGTAGCCTGGCTGGTCACTTTTTTAAAACTTTTTACCATTTTCATACATATTTTTACAATTTTACTATTTACAATGTATGTTTAATACAATTTAATATAACTCCATGCACCATTGCACAAATTCTCTGATTAAAACTTTAGCCGTGATTACATAATATTCTTCTTATGCACCAAGTGTTTTTTCCTCCTTATCTGCAATTAACTTTAATCTCCCGATGGCCTGAAATTAGGACTAGATAACCGCGGCTAGTTAATAAGTGAGGTTAGATGTTTTGTTTGGTTCCGATTTCAATAATTTCATGTTTACATTTTTGCCAGAAAAAAACTGAAAAAATGGTGTGTAGTGAGCAGGCTGAAATGAAATAAGAAATATGAAAGGTGGAAGCAGAGAACGTAAAATTTGTGCGTAGATTCTGAAATTTGTTTACACAGCGGTTCCGAAATAATCAGAAACTATTCTTGGGGCGGTTTTTTGGGGGGCTGGAACAGACCTATAGATAGTGATAATGTTAGATAGGTTTCGAAGGCGTGCGAATGAGAGGAAAACTTACTTTGAAGCCTTGAATGATCTTGGTTTCTTCCGTCGGTTCCGCCTCACGGAACCAACATTGGAAGATTTTCTTGGAGAGACTTGAA